GATCTCATCTGTAAATTTGATTGCACATTTTATGGAGGCCTATTATTGTATACGTGAGTCTTAACTTTTTACATAGTATTTAAATTATGTTCTGGGCTCAATATAAGTTTACTATCTTGATTCAACTTGAATCAAAAAAACCAAACATGAATTGCGTGCGACTTTTCTATCGTCGTGATGTCATTTCTAGCACGACCAACGATTTTGCTCTTAAAGTTTTTCCAAAGGTTGGCGTACTGTTTAATAGTCAAAGTTTGAGTTTGTGTATGTGAAAAATATCACTATCAAAATATTACCGCCTACTAACTTTATAGTCAAAAAATGGGCATTTAGGAGAGTAGAAAGTGATTTGTGGGTTTCTGTTGGCAAATAGAGTTAAATATGGGGCATTGCAGCAATTTTAAAAAGTAAAAACATAGCCTAATTTTGTATGATAGAGAAGAGACTGACACCAACAAACTCCACAGTAAAACCACAGACATATTACATGTTAAATAGACACCCTCTACTGGAGAAATCAACAACGTGCTTAACAAACTAACAGCAGTGATTCACTTCTATAAGTATCCACTAATGGGAAAATGTATTAATCAGTTAGGGGAACTCAATGATTCTTAAGTCTGTAATGCCTTTTCCCTTTTTTTTTTTTTTTTTTTTTTACTTGCGCCTCGACCATATTTTTATGTCCCCTTAAATTCTTTTTACATCATCAGTCCCATCTCACACAATATCAAAAATCCAAATCAGCACATATTATACAAGATCATATATATGATTATTTATTCCAGGACATGTTAAAAACATTACTTTATACCTCTATATGCACTAATGTATGTTAAAACCATAAATATTCAATATAGTCTCTATTAGTTAAAATACAGTCATTAGAACTAACAATTATGTGAAGTTTAAGATTAAGCATGCCTCATCACTAAACACTGCCCTCATGGTTTCAAATTTAATTTTATTTAATCTATTAATAGTTCACATCTTCAGCCACTACATTGTTAGTCATCAGCTGGGCAAAGGTGGTTTTAGCATGGTCTGTGAAAGGAGACGTCTGAAGGATGGTATTAAAGTGAGTAAAAATAAACTAAACCTGATCTAGATGGAAAATGTTTGCCCTTATCCTCATCCTTGTGATATATCACTTTAGAGTCTCTCTTTACCAAATTTACATGGCAAAGGTGGCACAGAGGTGCTTCTGAAGTAGCATATAAGTGTCTTTACACACATTTTTTAATGCTGCTCAGGGGTAGTATAAATGCATTTTACAGCAAATACTTTTATATTAGGGAGGTGGGTCAAAGCTTGCTTAATTTAGTCTGGCTTTTATGCGGCATTATGTCTTTACAGAGAATCTTGAGCAGGCAGAGAGCAGCTGTGCAAAGATGTCTTTAGCATAGTTACTCTCAATGTTCCTCAGATCACAGATTCAATTAAGCTAACTAAACTTAAATGGCTTAAGTAAATAGGACTCAAATTAAGTAAGGAATACTTTTAATATACTAGTAAATAAGACTTATGTGCGTATCTTATGGCCTATACACAAGAGTTAATTGTTTGTTTTGTTGATCAGGTGGCCTTGAAATACTTCACAAAGTCCAAAGACACGGAATACATGTTCATTGTAGGTAGGCTGCACTATCTAAACAATATCTCATAACTTTAACACCTCCATCTAATGCTGGGTACACACTAAAAGATTTTTAAAATCTTATACGAGCTTCAAAATGTGAGAGACCACAAACATGAGGACAAAAAATCCTAGATTTAACCGTTTTGCTCCTATAGAGTGTGGTGTGCCGTGACGTTCCCCCCACACATCAGGATTTCTGATCGTAAATATTCAACATGTTTCGCGATTGGGGTGCCTCCGACGTTCTTCCGGGCAGATTCAGTCACTCTTAACACACCTCATGTTAAGGGGCGAACGAGACGTGAGACGTGCGGATCCATCTGCAAAGCTTTTATTTAAAGGCGTGGTCATAAAAACAGGCAAGGTTCTGACAATGGCAAATGGGTATATTGAGGGCAAGACAAAAGAGTAATCCAAACCGGGCGTGAGTCAGCCGACAGCGAACGTTATCCAGAGGGCTTAGAACCACCAAGATAATTGGGAGATTACCTAGGATTGTCAGAAGGGGAGAAATCGGCCCAAAATCAGCCCGATTATCTTGTGGTGTGTACCTAGCATAATTATGATAAAATACTGTATTTTAGTCTGATCATCAAAAGCCCCTTCCAAAGGAGGTGGCCCTTACAATCCTGGCAAATAAAGGCCCCAACGTGCCAGAGATCATCAGGCTGTTGGACTAGCAGGGCCACCCTGTCTATTTCGTCATGGTCCATAAATGTCCCTCTCCCTGTAAGAATCTGGCTGACTTCATGAGGCGTCACATTTGAAGCCGCAGAGAGGGACGAACACGACAAGATGGCGCATGCTGTGCACATGTGTGCCTCAGTTGAGTGCTCCAACGTGACGTCAAACTGGACAACCTTCTCATTACCAGGGGGACATCCAACGTCAAGCTGATTGACTTCAGATGTGGAGAGATTATGAGGAGGTCACCATACAAGTCGTACTCTGGTATGCATTAAATAATTAATTTCTTTTATGTTAACAGGTACAGAAAAAAACACACTGCATTAAAGCAAACTTTCATATCAGACTAAATCTCTTTCCTCCAGGCACAGTGGCATAGTCCTCTCCAGAGAACCACTACTATGGTTGACCAGCAATGGTGTGGTCACTTGGTGGTTCTGTTGTTTGCCATTCTGTGAGGACATTTCACAAGGGGCTATGATCTGTAAAATAGACTCATTGGTCCAAACTTGGCCTGTAGAAGGGTAAGAGCTTCACAAAAATCCAAATCAGACACAAGTAGCTTAATAAAAATGGCCCACTAGAAAATGCAGGAATTGTTCCTGTTTTTTTTTCTGACTTGAAGTCAGATCTTACAGCTTAGAATGAAATGATCAAACAGAGCAGGTGCAAAGTTTTGGGCTGGGGTTCTCAACCCTGGCCTTCAAGATCCACTTTACTGAAGAGCTTAGAGCCAACTCTAATAAAACACACCTGAACAACTGATCAAGGTCTTCAGGATTACTAGAATATTACAGGCAGGTGCGTTTCAAAGAGAGATCAAGGTTGGAGCAACACTCTGCAGGAAAGTAGAAGTTGAGGACCAGAATTGAGGAACCCTGGTTTAAGGTGAAAATCAGATGTCCCTCGCATCATTCTTCACAGAATGCTGCCATTTGCTCAGGGCTCTCCTGCAGGAAAACCCAAGTCCGCAGCTTGGTCTGGGGCAAATCCTGTCCCAAAACTGGTTTGCATAAGACCACACCAGTTGCCATCTCTCATGCAGCTTAGCGTCTTGCAGGCTGCAATGGAATACGCTTTCATTCCAATTCTCGCCTTTGCATCTTGCTGGGCGAGCAAGCCTTTTCAAGCGCCTTGTGCCTTGGCATCTCCTGCAGGAAAAGCCAAACCAGTGGCTTGGTCTGGGGCAAATCCTGTACCACAACTGGTTCATGGTACTGTACATAAGATCAAAGATTGCATGGAAATCGCCAAGTCAAATCTGTTCTCATTTTGTTTCTGTTTTGTTTCAGATCATTGCATAAGACAACACTAGTTGCTCTCTCATGCAGCTTAGCATCTTGTAGGCTGCAATAGGAGACACTTCCATCTCTCCTCCCGCTTTTGCGGGGCGAGGAAGCCTTGTGCAGTGTCTTGCGACTTGGCTTGTGGGAGCAGTATTTGCACATGGAGACACTGCTTCTGGAGGGATTTCTACATATTGTATTTTTACATAGTTCATTTGGTTGCCACGTTTGGTTTTGGTTCCAAGTCCAAGCGGTTCCTGCCACAACCCTCTGAATGCCAGAGCTTTCTGCCTCCCTAATGTTAGGAGCTTTCTTTCTTGGCCACCTCGGTGCTAGTCACAGTTGCTAAGGAAGCTGAGGTATTGCTGTCCCAAAGCTCTCCGTCTCTGCCTTCTTGATGCCAGTGTTCCAGGTCATGGCTGCCCCTGTGATCCCTGCCACAAGCACCCAAGTATTCCTGTTCTTGCCGCCTCAGAGGCTCCTGTAACTGCCCCAGCCAGAAGCTCCAATCTCAGCTTCACCTCAGTTGATCTACGGCCATTCAAAAGCCAGATCTTGTTCATCCTGGTGCTACAGGGGGTGCTGTCATGGTTGCCCCCAACTCCAAGCTCTTTGCAATGTCAGCTCAGTCCCAGTCGATCCTGTCTTGACCTCAGAAGAGTTTCCTGCCACTGCCAGCCCAAAGGTTCTTGTCATGGCTGCTCAGAGCGCTGTCTCAGCTGCATCGGTGCCAGTAGGCTACTCCCTGTCACAGTTCCCCCAGTGATTCCTGCCACAGTTCTTCTTCATAGGGCTGCACTTACACTGTACCTTTGTTTTAAGACAATTCCTCAATAAAAAGTATACTTCATAGATGTGTCATGTTAGTGTCTTTATAATTTTCAGACTGTTATTTAATATCAGTAGCATATATCGCCATCTACTGGTGGCATAAAAGATTAAGCTTAACACGTTAGTAAAGGAGTTTCTAGTGTTAGAAAGGAGAGTTTAGCTCCAGCCAGCTCCAAACACTTGTCTGGAAGTTTCCAATAATCCAGAAGACCTTGATTAGCTGGTTTAGGTTTGTTTAATTAGGTTTGGAACTAAACTCTGCAGGACAGTGGCCCTCCAGGAGCTGCTTGAGTATTTGTAATATTACTTGAATAGTGATATATTCATATGAACTTGCTTTATTTCATGACTATACTCCATAAACACACACCACATTGTGAAAAACTAAATTTCAGTGAAACAATGTAAAAAAAAAAAAAAAAAAAGTAAAATAATGTACTTACAGTGCTCATTTTACATAATCAGAAAATGTGAAGTATACAGATCAGATCAATCTTAAAAGTGAACTTTTATTGTTGAAATGTGTTTTGAATTACAGTAACAATGCCAAACAGTTCCTATATCACACCTGTGCTGCAAAAATGAGGTCTACTGTGGAAAATGATACAAATATATTTGATACATTGCACAACACATCAAGTTAAGTGACACTTTCCCTTTAAATTGTATTCATTTGCATTCATGTTTACAATCAAGAATAATTATTATTCATTAAATCCATAAGCACACTTTCAGATATGTTTGATGAGGAACCGATAAATAAATAGCACTTTTCTGTCACTGAGAAACAACATATACAGAAATAAATCTTTTTGTACCTTATACCTGGGAATGATATCCCAATTTCTTCTATTTTTGGCTTTTTTCTTAGTGCACTCAGAATGTCCTAATATGAACATACAGCTAAATTATTACATTATTTGGAGTGTTGTTTGAGTGTTAGTGAGTCATTAAATACATTAAAATAACCATATATATGATAATGTTCACACTGCTGCAATTCTTTGACCTTGCTTAAATAACAAACAAAAAAAACACAAGTGAAAGAAAATATGTATCATTGCCCTATATGTTTGAAATATTTGGCTTGTCCTCCCTGTATAGCTTCCCTGTAACCTGCCACAGTTTTACTTCAAAAACAATTCAAGTCACAATAAAGTGAATATATTAAGTTGAAAACCTGAGTCTGAGATATTCATCTGAAAAAAAAAAAAATGTTTGAACACAAAAGCAGAAAAAGCGAAAGTCTGAATGTACAGCAGCACAAAAAGGCCACAGGTTTTCCAGGATCTTCTGAACATTTCTAGCCTATTCACATCTGTTCCAGAGATTAAGGCAACAGTGCATGAATACATCCCAGCACAAACAAAAAAATCTCTGCGACATACAATATGTGATATAATTATCAACCCAAAAAGAATATCTTCTCTCAACAATGCAATTTTATCAGATGCCCAGATAGCATGCTCTGCCCTGTTTAAATGACTATTCTTTGAATATTAATTGTAATTAAAACCAACAATTACTCTGTACATGCCTAAGGAAGATCAGCCCTCTGTTTAAAATATTTTAAAATGATTTCCCTTTTGAGAAATGAGAAAACAAGAAGAGAAAGATCACTTGTTGTTAGCTTTGTTGTCAAGCTGGAAAAGATCCAGGATATCAAGCATTGCCTTTCTAATGTTACTTCCAAAGCGGTGAGAGTCCTATAAATCACAAAAAAAGGGAACATTTTATTTTACATATGTACAGAATTATTACATCACATTATGAATTATTTGAATAATATTATCAATTTTATTATACACTACCATTCAAAAGTGTAACTTTGCTAAGATTTTTTTATGTTTCTGCACCAAGGCTTATTTATTTGATCAAAAATACTAATAAAAAATATTACAATTTAAACTAAAGTAACTTTTATATTTTAATGTTTTAAAATATTACAACATTATGAATGTCTTTAATGTCAATTTTGATCAATTTAATGCATCCTTGCTGAATTAATTTGATGCTGAATAATTAATTTCTTAAAAACATCTTAAAAACGACTTTATATATGATTATTAATTGTATAAAAATTATAACAACTATAATTATTATTATGTATACTTTATGATATTTTATATTACATTTGAGATGTAATAAAGTGAACTCACGGTCTCTGGGCTGGAGTGTTTGCTGGATATGTGGAAGTTGATGAGATCTTCTCCAAGAATAATATATGATACACCATAACCATCATCAGCAACCTAAACAACACACATATTGGTCATATACTGGCAAAAAAAACTAAATGTATATATATATATATATATATATATATATTAGGGGCTGCACCGACTAATCGACGTCGACTAGTCTCTGGTCCTATAGAGGGCGCAACAGGATAAGAAATATTTGAAGGACTTCCACATTTACACTCAGTTTCCAAACAGTTCAAATGACAAATAAATGCGTACTCTGAAAGCGCTCCACAAGACATGTGTGATTATATTACTGGATGCTCGAAATTGAACGGGAGAATGCACGTTTTAAACAGCTTATTGTACAGGTAAGTTAATCGCCATTCTAATCTAATGCGCTGCTGGACTGTAACGCGCACACAGCTACAGACAGTAGTGCGTACATCAGGCGCACAGAATCATTCAGCGCGGAAATGTATTGTCAACACTGTTCTGTGATTTCTCAATAAAATAGCTTAG